AATCTATCAAAATTCAAAACCTTGTTTCCAAGCTGACAATTATATTCTTGTCTTTTGTTTGTTTCCTTGTTGAATTAAAACAAAAATGTTGTTAGTTATGGAAGACATGTAAGATTATTTCAAGGAACAGAACACACGAATTCAAGAATGTTTGGTGATTCTGTATTCAAATTGGATGTACCTAAACATGGTTTGTTACGAAATAAAGAGATTAGTTTAATAGTGGGAAACTTAAATTTAAGCATGATTAATTCATGATTAATTATAATTTTAATTAATAATATATTTATTATAATTTTAATTAATAATATTTTTAAAAATATTAATATTTTAATATATATTTTTAAATTTTAATCTTTTAAGTCCAACGGACTGAATCGATTTTTGGACCAAACTTTTAAAAAATTGATTGAGTCCGACTTATCGAACCCGTGAATAAATTTAATACATAGATACGTCATATAATAAACTTTGTTTTTAATCATCTTCTTAACTTTGACTAATCCTTGTACAATTAGTCAACCAATGCGTGCTTAACCTTGCCTTAGTCTTCCCTTGTAACACTGTTTTTACAAGTAACTTCATTTTAAAATTCATTAATAGTGATGGATTCATCATTCATGATTGCTTAAAAAGATATAAATACTAACATGATTTCCTCTTTTTCAAGTTACCTAATAGAGTTGCATAACAAAGGTAAACCCAATGGATAAAGGAAGAAAAAAATAGTTTTGCTTTTATATTTTTTTATGAATATTTTATGTCTACCTTTTAAACTACTGTACACAAACAAGAACAAACACAATTACTTCCCCTCTATTTTTGTTGTTGCCTCTGTGCTGATAGTTCAATGTTTTTTTTTTTTTTTTTTTTTTTAACCTTAAAATTTTTCTCTCTTTTGTTTGTAATTATAAAATAACAAAAAAGAACTTGAAATTTTCGTTTCGTATCATTTAGTATTAGCCCAAGGTTGATTCACGGGACAGTTTGCAATCTAATTTTTTATAATTTTTTTTATCTTTCGTCAGAACTTAAACATACTTAAATATTTGATTCATGTTGATATTAATTAAGGACTGTTATATATTTTGTTTAATAACTCCACCTTGAAGTGATTTAGTATTTGGTTTACCATATTTTTGTATAAATATTCGAATAAAAAATAGGGAAAACAGTCAAAATACGTTTCTTTTTTATTTCAAATTCTCCTTCTTTCTTTGTTTTGAATGACACTAGGGCTGGAAATTGTAATGCAGGCTTGTAGCCTTTCATGGACCTTTTCGTTTCCCCTTTCTTTTGTTTAAGTCTTAATTTATTTAAGCTTGGCGAAGGCAAAGTTTTAGTTACGTCTGTCAAGGTTGTATTTGGAGCAAAGAATTCTAATTAAAAAAAAAAGTAAGATAAGTTCAACAAATAAATTATCTTCTTTCTAGCTTATTTTTGATGTATCTATAACTAATATGTTCATGCCCTTGTTACACCATAAATTTCATATGAGATTATAGAAGTAGTAGAAAAATAAGATAATCAAAGATATATATATATATATATATATTTATCAATTAGGGTTCAATCCTTGTAAGAAATACTTTAAAAGTAAAACTTTAAAGTCATGTTTGATAGGATATGATAAAATGATATTATGAATAAGATTAGATTAAATAATATCATGTTATTTTACATTTGATACGTGCAAGGATTAAGATAAGATAATTTATTTATTAATCAAAATTATTGATTTAAACTTTAAGGGTATAATAAAACTTGTAAGTTTAATCCTATGTATTAAAAATAATTTTCGTTACTTTAAAATGATTGAATCGTTCCGAGGATGATAATACTCTTTATAATCTTATTTCTTTCAATTAAATACAAATCAAACATAATATAAAATAATTATAATATTATTTTATATATTATCTTATATACCAAAGATGATCTAAATATACTAAATCAGTATGAAAAATGCAACTTTGAAATCGTTTAAAGAAAAATTAAATTCAAACAAAATAAAACTTTAGAAATCCTAGTATTATAAAGAAATGAAGATAATGGCCCAGCCAATCCAGTGGTTTAGTTTTAACAGAAAAAGTAGATAGTGGGCTGGCCAAGAAACTGACCAAGGTCCAAAGTCCAAACCCAACTTTTGTCTTGAACCCTGGACTTGAGTTGCTAGGTCAATTCCTGCAAGTGTGCTTTGAATTTTTGCTTTATATTCCCGCTGCCAAAAAAGCTACCAAGTAGTCTGCAATGCATGTCTGATAATTCATCAGGGGAAGGGGAAACAGGGAAGAGCTAACAAGTACTACAGGGAAGAGTTTTAAAATGACCATACTTCACAGTTCACAGCTTGAAGAACTTATTTTCGTTTTACTTAAAAAGAAAGTATGAATGAGAATGTAATCATTCAGGGGAAGAGGAAACAGATTCAATAGAGAACATGAACTAGTCTTTCTCTTGAATCTACACTGATTGCAATTTGCCATCAGCTTAAACCAACCTTAACCAGCCAAGCCTCCTTAAATTCCAATATCTTCAAGACCTACCAGATAATGTGTATAAAAACACGACGAACTAATTTGTACTCGGAGGTTACAATTGGAGCTAAACTAGTTTTTCTTTCCAAATTTCACATAATTCAGACAATGTCAATAAAAAGAACATGATACAATCAAAAGGTGGCTTGATATTCGAATTTCAATACTTGTAATTCTTTATCTTATCTTCAATTTGTGACCTCCTTTCTACCGAAAAAAGAATATAATAGTGTCAAAACAATCAAGATGCAGAAAGGGGTCGTGGAAATTATACAATACATTATACATGACTTCTCTACATATTCTACATTCTTCACATGCAGTACAGCCATCCTGAAGGCTGCTTTTGGCATCACCTAAATTATTGTTAGACTACCTAGACTAAATATTAAGAATGCCCCTCAATTGTTATAGAATACAAGGTCTTATAACTTATCTCAAATCAGCGTCATCTTCATCATCAAAATCTTGTTCACTTGATGGTCTCATTCTCTTTCCATCTTTTGCTGATGAGGCAGTTCTTCCTTTCTTTGGTTTCCCTCTAAAAGTTAAACAAATAAAAGGTTTATGTTATGAATATGTAAAAGTTTCACTACGGTGAAATGTTAAATTGAAATAATTGAACTTTAAAAATCATTAATATAATATCTGAATTATGAATCTATCATTAATGTAATACTTGAAAAATTATTTGTCAATCATATATTATTATTTGGAGCTAACCAAGTTAGGATAAGTGATACCATTTAACAGATTCTTAATTAGTACAATTATTGCGTTAGAGATTTTTAAAGTTTATGTAAAGTATTAAATATTTAATTATATTTCAAGAGTTAATATTGGTGATATTAATCCAACTCAAAAAGTAAGGATGAATGAGCACGATCATTGGCCATAATTGGCTACTAAGGCTCCATCCTCAGACTAAACTGGACAAAATCAGACCCTCCATCTGCAACAGAAAGGGTGGCAAATCAAAGGAATTCAAAATTAGCTTTTAAGGAAAGGGGGGGGGGGGTAAACATTAGTAAATTAATGAACATGGTTTACCATCCTGTCGAACTCCAGGTTCTTCAGCCTGAACATAAAGAAGAAAAGTGAACAAACCAGTGTTGATAAATCTGAATAACTATCTCAACTACATGAACTTTTGAGGCACAGCCTTGTCATTACCATATTTGCACAACTGATTTCTGCTAAAACAAACGGAAGGTGCAGCAACAATTGCACAAACCAGATAAATAAACAACGACAATTCCATTCACCAACTGATCATGTAAATAATGGTTGATTTTGAGACAGCATGCAACCAAAATTCTCTAGAGAAAGATGAGTATCACTAGCACTGACTTTACATTATGTCAGTTAAATCAGCTCATGTTAAAGTATGTTCATAGATTCCTAAAACCAGATAAATAAAGCATCTCATGTTTCTTTCAAACAAAATGTTGACTTATTTCATATTGGTATTACTTATTATTGAAGAAAATGAATTTGAAAAGAAGTGTTACCTACTAATGCTTGTTTACAATGTCTATTAGATTATAGATAAAAAGGATTACGGGGTTAAAAATAAATTAAAATTAAAAAAAAAAATTGTTGGATTAAAATAAAAAATCAATTATTTTGTATTATTAGTCAACTTGATAAAAGATTACATTAAAAATATTTTAATCAAGAATATATAAAAGTAAAAAAAAAAAAAAATCTAATTGTCGGATGAATTGTTACATAAACAAAATTGATGTTCCACCAAGAAAACGATGGAGAAAATTCTCTCTTACACCCAGAAGAATATTTGCTGTGACTCCTATCCTTAATGAAAACACGAATATAGAAATATAGATATGTTTTATATTTCTTTGAGGGTCACTTTAAAAAAAAAAACCCATCTAATAAAGAAATTAAGGGTAATAATTATTTGGATCGAATTTAATTTTATTTTTTAAATATTAGATAATATTATAAATTTTTAAAATTTAATTTATGATATTTAAATTTAAATTTTTTATATTATTTTAATATAAATTTTAATATATTTAAATAAATTTTGATATAAAATTATTATCTTTATTTTATAAAAATTTAAATATATATAAAAATTAATAAAAATATTTAATTTGATTTAATTTAATTTAATTTTTAATTTTTTAATTTAAAATTTAATAAAATTTTAATATATATTAAAATTAATTGAAATCAAATAAAAAAATTAATTCAATTTAAATCCAATATTATAATTTTAAATCCATTTTCAATTTTTTCAATTTTTTTACTTTTTCTCAACCTAAAACAAATTATGCTAAAAAATTCAATTTTACAATGTAGAAAATAAACCACTGAGAAATAGCCACGTGAGCAAGAAGGATGATGATGGCGGTAATTGTCAGAAAAGAATCGAACACGACACGCCTCTTTCCTTTCCTCTCAAAACACGAATCTTTTTCTCTCTTTTTTTCCAATTTTAATCCAAAAAATCAGAAAAAGTTGAGAACTTTTTTTATTAAATTTTCAAAATTGTTTCGAAATTTCCTATTTCTTTTTCTTCTTCTATCTGGTGGCTTCTTTGTTTTCCTTATTTTCTCTGCATAATAACTCTCTCTTTGTCCCATTCTCTCCAAAGCTTCCCATTTTCTTTCTTCATTTGAAGCAGCTATGTCTTTTAGAGGAGTAAGTCTCTCTTTCTTTGGATTATTTTAGATCTGATCCAGTTTCGTTTCTTTTTATTCTCTTTGTTTTAGCTTAATAAGAGTTGAATTTTTTTCCATGCTGAAACTTGAACAAAGTTGAGGTTTTTGTTATATGGGTAGCTTCTATTTTTGTTTTAATTTATTGGGTTTTTTTTTTTTCTTTGTGTAAGATTGAATCTTCCATGTCTAGTTAGATCTTAGCTTTTAGTTTTACTTGTTGAATTTTTTTTTCCTTTTTGGGTTTATGAAATAATTGATTATTAGATTAGATTTGTTCTGCAGTTTTATTAATTAAAATCTGATGGGAATGTTAAGCAAGTCAAGCTATGTACTTCACTGCAATCCCATTGAGCTTAGTTGAAGTAAAGTTATATCAAGAACACAGCTTTAGGAAAAGAAGGATTTTGATTTTGTACTCAAAATAATGTCTTTGTAGGTCTATCTGAGCTAAGTTGAGGTAAATTGTCTTTTTTGGTCTCCTTTTTGTGCACCTTCCTCTCCAATTGTAATGCTAGCACTGCATCTCGTTGTAAATAAATGGGCCTTTAGATTTGAACCCGGATTAGGCTATTGAATTATGTTAGGTTGGTTTGTTTACTGATGGACTTGAAATTTTATGTGCACTGCTTTGCTTCAATTCTCATATGACATTCATGGCGCTTGTGATATTGGTGGAGTTAGAAATTAAGTATCCTATTGGAAAATATTTTTTTCTGTCCGTTTTCAAATTTACCATTTTTAAATTTGGTGAAAAGCATTGAAAAAAGTTTGTTCTGCTTTGCAGGAAATGTAATAGGTTTTTAGTATAAAAAGTCAATACTTGTTAATTTATGTTGGAGTAAGCATTGAATGTTTAGCATTTGTTTCTGGTTTTCAGGGAAATGCATCATCTGGCATGGGAGTGGCTGAACACTGCAAAAGCACGTACCTAGAACTGCAAAGGAAGAAGTTGTTCCGATACGTGATCTTTAAGATTGATGAGAAGAAAAAGGAGGTTGTAGTTGAAAAGACTGGAGGTCAAGCTGAGAGCTATGATGATTTCACTGCCTCATTGCCTGAGAATGATTGCAGATATGCAGTTTATGACTTTGATTTTGTTACTTCTGAGAACTGCCAGAAGAGCAAGATCTTTTTTATTGCATGGTTAGTTTCTCTTTCAATTGCAAAATAATTCCTTTCTGTTAAAATTTTTGCTGCATTTTCATTATAACTCAGTGAGTCTGATCTAATTGTAACACATCTCATTCTTTCTTTCCTCTTTCTCTCTGTTGGGCTTCTGAAACTTCAACACCATTTTCTTGTCTGAAGTATTTATGGTTGGAACAATTATTTAATCCATTTCCCATATATCTCCATTGCTTTGTTGTTTGCAGATGATCTTTTGGTTGAGAATTTGATTATTTATGCTTTCTTAATACCAGGAGTCGAAGGTTTTAAATTCTCTTGGTTTTCTGAGGACATTCTTGGAACTATTTTCTTCACTCAAGTTATTGTAGATTGTCTTGGGTTTGCTAGAAATACAAATGATTATGATGTATGGACTAAGTGAAAAGAGATGGAGATAGAACGAATACCAATGGTAATTGAATCCATGGATGTCATGCTTGCAAATGCAATGCTATTTTTGTGTTTGCTTGTGAATTTAAAAGTACTTCTTCTGTGATGACTTTTTGTCCTCAGGTTCCATCCAAAATCAAATCATCTTCTTCAAATTGGAAATTAGTTTTTTGCTTTCAAGTCATATTTCCTTCTATGCAGTTTCTGTTCTCAAAATTTGCTTAGTACATCTGGATTTGATTCTTCATGATCTTTTACATTACTAAAAGACAGGGATGTTTTCATTTTTTTACTATCTACTGGTTTGGCACAAATTTGCCTTTATGATCTGGAAGACAAACTGATCTGGCAGCTTGATATATATATTTTTTCCCATACCTTCTGGCATTGAGAAAGAGGGAATTTATATTCGTGAAAGGTATAAGATTTTTAGCTAAAATTAAACTTTGGAGCTGAGTTGGTTTTGTGGTGGCTTTTACACTAGGGTAAAAAAAGAATGTTGTGTGTGATTACAAGGTGCTTCATCAGTGGTCCTGTGTTCTGGTGTATTCCTTCCTTATCTAATGTAATATTACACCAAGTATATCTGCTTTGCTTTCTCTGTAAGGTTCATAAACTCAAGTTGTTTGAGTGTGCAAAGCAATGGTGGGATAATCATGAAATTAGTTTTTATTTCTTGCCATTAACCAGTTGAAGTTTTTGTTGAATTGTAAAGAGAAAACAAGATTGAAAATTAACTGGTGCACATTTTCCTCTTTGTCTCCTCTGTTTTCTGTATTCAAGTCTTGCTCTGTTCTTCTGTAGGTCTCCTTCTGTTTCTAGGATCCGTGCCAAGATGCTCTATGCAACATCCAAGGACAGGTTCAGAAGGGAATTGGAGGGCATTCATTATGAAATCCAGGCAACTGACCCAACCGAGATGGATCTTGAGGTGATTAAGGAGCGAGCACATTAAGCATTCACTGCATCTATGGCTTTCGCATGCTTAGGAAACTCCCTAGAGTTGCTTTTAGGATCGTTTCCTGGTTCAATTAGTTGCTGAATTAAGTGCAGTTATCTGCCTCTGACAGTACATATATTGTGATTGTTAAATAACAACTGCGAAGTCTGATTAGGAGCTCAACGGTTCAAACATCTGAGGTGTTTTGGGTCGTTGGGCTCCTCGTTGCCATGATGCTTCGCAAGTGAGATGGGTGTGATTATGGATATTGGACCCCTATTAATAGAATGGTATTTCAATCACTTGTCCTGCTGTTCATCTCTGATAATAGGGGCTGTTGAAATATAAATAATTTCAACAGTCACGGTCACTGAATCAAATATATTAGTAATCCTGTGGCATTTGACATTTGTTTTCTACTGCTTTTGTTTTATTTGGAGTATTGATAGTTGAAAAGAACCAGTCTACCAAACAAAAGAAAGGTTATAGGCGACTGTTCTAATAATAATGGTGCCTTTAAAATCCACAAGGATGGCCCGAAAGTCGTTAGGTTAAAGTGGAAAAGTAATCCTCTGTAACCCTCGTGATAAAAAAAGTTGGAAACTTAGTTCTAGGATGATGAATTTGGATACCTTTGAGCTTTGACTTCTCAACAGTACCACAATGGGTATAATAATCTTATCACATTTAGGGCCAAATCCAAGGCCATTTCGAGGGGCCAACTACGTCGGGAGTGCGGTTGAATATCACCTTGTGGTGCAGTTGTACTTGTTACTTTCTTCCTAGGGAGACTGGACCTTAGGACAGTCAAATTTTTTAGTGTAAAAATGAAAAATTTTACTGTCACAATGGATATCATTTTAATCTGTCTCTCTAAATCCAAATGGATCGTTAGACAATAATTGCAACTGTTATAGTCAATTAGGCATGCTGAATAAGCAAATTTAATTGTATGATCAAGGTCATGGTACCAATGGTTAAATTTAGGTAGGGGTTTTAGATTTCAGCTATTGTCTTTTCTTGTATGATAATGATCATGGCAGCTAATGGGAAAAGTCTGATTCCAGCAAGGTGATAGATCATTGAAAGTATATCTTCTTTTTATGGTATATATCTTTTGGATTTAGTCAGAGAAAATAGGAAATGGAACCAGATGCTTAACAAAAAAACTTACCCAAATTCATGTGCTTGAACGAGCTTGGTATTTAAGCTCCTCTTCTTTCATTTTCGTTCTATACAAATTGAGGTCCACACTCTCTGGTCCTCTTCAACCAAAAGCTGTTTTGCCAAAGCAAGACGGAAGCAAATTGCAGAACTTGTTAAAAAGGCAAAAAATCTTTCTAAATAAAGTAAATGAAATAAAATAACCTGAAATGTCAGTTAAAATTTACAAAAATTGGGAATTTAGCTGTTCTCAATGCATTTGTGCTCCAGTTAAACAGTTTTAATGAATGAGTCTTGTGACCATGAAAAGGAAAAAAAAACTGTTATTTGATCAAAGAATCACACTTAACAGTTAAACAGTCTTGAAAGAGAGAGATAGAGGGTGTGAATTGAATGAGACAGATAGAGAAAAGACCCATATCTTGGGAACTTTACAGTGGATCCACAGAGCAGACAAGATACGTCTCCCACCACTATCATCAAATATTATATGAGCCCACGTGATCTTGACACATACAAGGATCCACAAGCCACTCCCTTTGCGTAAAGACATTGCCAGTTCCATTTGTTCAAGGGAATGTCACTGTTTAATGTACTGTAAGTAATGAAGAAATGCCATCAATTTTGTTTACCAAACGCTTCAAATCTTTTTTGTCTGTTTTTGCTGAGTTTCTAGCTTCTAGCTACATGGGGTAAAAATGGTGTGGTCATCTTCTTTTAGTTTGGTTGTCTGAAAAGATACACAACGTATTTGTGGATAAAATTCTTTAATGTGAATTATTTTCTGGTGTCTCGGATCTGTATTCTTAAATCGTAGAAAATCTGATCTTCCATTGTATATATTGCAAAGTTCATGAACAGTGCTTTAATTTGCCAACAAGGGTATTGCTTCTTCTTGTGGCTTTTGCTTGTCTATGCTACTAGTTTTGGTAGAGAGGTCTGCATCAAGGTCTTGGAGCAGGAGATATTTTGTATGCTTCTAATGTTTGATTGGTGGAATTGGGGATCAATAAGACAGGTAGGGAAGGCCAAATTGAAGTTTGATTTGGTTGGATATCCTGGATACATAAGAGCAGCATAGAAGTTGCAAACAACCGAATAGTTTGCTTCTTTTGGCTATGACATCAACAGGTCATTTTAACTGTAATAGGGCTAATTAATATTTCTCAGTTTATAGTTCAAGGGTCTTTTGTTGCAATTGAGATATTTTCCAAGTGTTCGGCAAATCTGAGTTTGTTTCAAGTTTGAGTTGCTTGGATGAGTTTATGTGATTTACAGCTTTGTTGATGTTCATGTTCTGGAGAGATTATTCATATGTTTATGAATTCAAACACTTCAGTCTTATCTGAAAGATCTGGTTAGTTCAAAATGAGTAGCAGTAAGACAATAGTCTGGCTTAGGAGGGACCTCAGGATTGATGACAATCCTGCTTTAGCTGCTGCTGCAAGGGATGGTAGTGTCTTTCCTGTTTATATATGGTGCCCTAAAGAGCAGGGCAAGTTCTGCCCAGGTCGAGTATCACGATGGTGGCTAAAGCAATCTCTTGCTCATTTGGAGCAGTCCTTGAAATCTCTTGGGGCTGAGCTTGTGCTGATAAAGACTCAAAGTACTCTTTCAGCTCTTTTAGATTGCATCAACGCTACTGGTGCAACTAAAGTAGTATTCAACCATCTTTATGGTATAGTGATTCCTCGGATTAATGCTGCTTTTTTTAACCGATATTAATTTTAATTTGCTTGTAAGTTTTCTGTCTGATTTTGTTCTTATTACAATCCTTTTTCTTGAGAAGTCTTGTAAGATGTGTCATGTTTCCTGTCCTTTTTCAGATCCTGTTTCGCTGGTTCGTGATCATAGTGTCAAAGAGAAACTGGCTGAAGTTGGCATTTCTGTGCAGAGCTATAATGGAGATTTGTTGTTTGAACCATGGGAGATATATGATGAGAAGGGGCAAGCTTTTACGACCTTTGATGCGTATTGGGACAAGTGCATGAACATGCAGACGGAACCCATTTCACTTCTTCCCCCAAGGAGATTGGTGCCAGCTTCAGGTAAAATTAAACAGAATATCACGTAATTCAGTGAACATTGCAAAATAAGTAACTAGTTGCTGTATCCTTATTAGTGACAGGGACAGTAGAAAGGTGCTCTATTGAAGGTTTGGGCCTTGAAAATGAATCAGAAAAATCTAGCAATGCCTTGTTAGGAAGAGGATGGTCTCCAGGTTGGAGCAATGCTGATAAGGCTCTAACTGAGTTTGTTGAACATAATCTATTTGACTATTCAAAGATTAGGCTTAAAGTTGGGGACAACTCCACATCACTTTTGTCCCCATATCTGCAATTTGGAGAGCTAAGCGTGAGGAAAGTTTTCTGGTGTGCACGGATGAAACAGATTCTATGGAGAAGAGAACAGAACTCTCAAGGGGAAGAGAGTGTAACACTTTTTCTGAAGGCCATTGGACTTAGAGAATACTCCCGTTATCTTTGTTTCAACTTTCCATTCACTCATGAGAGATCATTGTTGAGCAACTTGAAGTATTTTCCTTGGCATGCTGATGAAAACCATTTTAAGGCTTGGAGACAAGGTCGGACTGGATATCCGTTGGTGGATGCAGGAATGAGGGAGCTTTGGGCAACTGGTTGGATACACAACAGAATAAGAGTGATTGTTTCAAGTTTTGCAGTGAAGTTTCTTCTTCTTCCATGGAAATGGGGAATGAAGTATTTCTGGGACACGCTTCTGGATGCAGATTTGGAATGTGATATTATTGGTTGGCAGTACATTTCTGGGAGCTTACCAGATGGTCATGAGCTAGAACGATTAGACAGCCCACAGGTGCGTTCAGTTCCCTAATTAATTTATTAACTGCTAGCAATCCAATGCAGATTACAACAAATATCTCCAATGCCTTCCATTTTGAGGCCTTGTGTTCTATATTCATAGTAACTTGTGATTTACAGTCTTTTGCATCTGATTAGTGCTGTGTATGTTAGTGGAGTATCTTCATCAAGTTTCAGCTTTTAAAAATATAGGTTGTGGGCTGGTATTTTGGACTGCTGATGTGGTATTGCGAATGGAACACATCTTTCTTCCTACACAGTTTAAAAGTGCAAACTCAACTTTACTATGAATAAATAATTGGACTATAGATATCTCATTGAACTCATCCTTAGCATATTTTCTGGTCTGCAAAAGCAAATGATACTGGTCAATGGCGGGTGAATTTTGTAATTGCAGAAAAAGGCTTGTGTTAATTAGCAGTACTACAAATAGAGATAGATCTTGTCAATTGAAACTGTAAGTTATTTTTCTGATATTTGGACCTCATTTTGTGTTGATTTATGGAGTCAGATTCAAGGATCCAAATTTGACCCAGAAGGTGAATATGTAAGGCAATGGCTACCAGAGCTAGCAAGGATGCCAACCGAGTGGATCCATCATCCTTGGGATGCACCTCTTACTGTGCTCAAAGCTGCTGGTGTAGAGTTGGGCTTAAACTATCCAAAACCCGTAAAAGATATAGATACAGCTAGGGAACATCTGACAGAAGCTATATTTAAAATGTGGGAAATGGAAGCAGCTGCAAAGGCGGCCACCTCAGATGGGATGAATGAAGAAGTTTTTGATAATTCTGATGGTATTGAAAATTCTATGGTCCCAAAAGTTATCCTAAAGGAAAAATCTTCTTGTCCAACATATTCATCTAATGATCAGAGGGTGCCATCATTTAAAAATTGCAATAATGGTTCATTGCATAGGAAGAGAGCAAAATATGTGGAAGAAGAAAGGTTGCATGCAGATAAACTGAATAATCTCAATAAAGAAGCAGGGACATCTGGAGGAGAAGACTTATGCTCGACAGCTGAATCT